TGAATTTAGCCATGCAGGACACTGGTTCAGTTTCAATCATTATTCCTAAAGCTGTTTTTAATACCCTCATGAAGATAAGGAGTATTTCTCATTCTGGATGTGTTGCCCAAGTCCTGTTGTTCGTCTTTTTCCTGAGCTGTCATGTTTCCTACCTTACTGTTATGGCATATGATCGGTATGTTGCCATTTGTAATCCTTTACGATATGAAATGATAATGAACAGAAAAGCTTGCACCAAAATGATTGGTAGTGTATGGATAGCCAGCCTTCTCAATGCTTCATTACACACTACTGTCACTTTTATTACTCCTTTCTGCTCTAATATTATCAACCAGTTCTTCTGTGAAATCCCATATTTACTTAAGATTGCCTGCTCTGGTTTATATGGGACTGAAATTGGAGTTCTAGTCTTCAGTGCTATATTAGGATTTGGTTGTTTCGCCTTTGTCATTGTTACTTATGTGCATGTCTTCTTTGCTGTTCTGAGAATTCCTTCTGTTCAAGGAAGGAAAAAGGCCTTCTCCACTTGTCTGCCACACCTCATTGTCACCTCCCTATTTGTATTCACTGGTGCCTTTGCTTATCTAAGAAACATATCTGACAGTCCATCCCACCTTGACTTCATTATAACAATAACCTATAGCATTATTCCATCTATGTTGAATCCATTAATATACAGTATGAGAAATAAGGACATCAAAGTTGCCGTTTCAAGAATTTTTGGTCATGGGTTATTTCATTTTAAAGAAGTGTGAATTGTATAACTATTTTTCCATTTAATTCTATTTAAATAGGAAATTAGAAAAATAGGCCTATGATACAAAGCTTATATAACCATCCCCTTGATTCTAGGCACCTTACCTTAGGTTGGAAAGCTGATTTTATTGAAATATGAGATTGATCTCATCTGTGCTAAGGCTGAGGTTGTTATGGTCCATTGAGTCAACAGTGAGCCCTGGTGAGCATGGGACAAGTCACTACAGTTTTCTTTGCAACATTTTCAAAAGTCGCTTGCCAGTTGCTTCTTTCATTTCCCAATCTCATAGAGGCAGTCTCCTTCAACTCAAGTTCAATTCCAGCAAATTCAGGCAGGGCTGTATGATCTTTGCATGCCATAGGCACATTTATCTTTATCAGCCCTCAATAGGGCCCCATAGTAAATAAAATTCCTTCCTTCCTTCCTTCCTTCCTTCCTTCCTTCCTTCCTTCCTTCCTTCCTTCCTTCTTTTGCCAATATTTTAGTTTCAAAGTTATTCATAATTATTTAACTTAAAAGTTGTTTCAGGCACTGTAGAAGCTACCATCCAAATACAAATGGTCAAAGCAGTCATCTTAATTTTCTGAAATGAGCCAAAATTGGCCAGTTGCTGACTCTCAGCTAGACCTGCTTCTTAATTGCATAGACATTTGGAAGCCTATCTTCAGAAAATATATATTTGATAATATTTTATTTTTCAGGATATGTGAAAAGATGCTAAAAAGGAATGGAAAAGATAGTATCAGATCAAAAACTTAAATATTAGGGATTGCTAATTTGGCCTGTGATTATATTGCTATAAACAGAAAATAGGGAAATGTTTCATTCTATTAATATTTCAGTACTTGTAAAATAGAGATATTTGATTCTATTCCCCTCAGGCATGAGATATCTTATCTTGGAAATAAATTTTGATTAAATCTGAAAGTTTTTCTTATTCATTTGCATGGGGTAGCAGACAGATGCAATGGTTTAAAATAAATTTTGATGGAACGGAATGAAGTTCCCATACCTTATAAAAATGAAGACTGTCAGATTTGTGCATAGATTTCTGCACTGGGTGCCTTTTGAATATTTCTTAAAGACAATACTAAGATTCTAGCCCATTGTGTTTATACATGTATATACATACATGTACACATATGAAGACTTTTGGAGAAGATGGAGGGACAGCAGTCAATTAATATTTGTTTATAAAAATCTATTTAAAGATGAAGGATGCAAAAATATTGTCATTTATTGTTCACACATTTCTGGATTAAAAAAAAAAGATGGCAAATAATATGTATTTATTTGAATATGTAATTCTCAATGCTTTGCATATTCCAAAAGAAGAAATTCAGCCAGTAAAATTGCTGCCTATTCAAGGTTGCCTCACAGATAAAAGGATTCAAAAATATGTACATATTGTGTGTATATGGGTGTGTTTGTGTGATGTATGTATGTGTGTACGTATGTATGTGTGTGTGTATACATACACACAAACACACAGACACATACAATTGTAAATGTTTTAATTCCTGCCTATTCAGGGTTGACTCACAGGCAAAAGGGTTCAAAAATATTTATATTTATATATGTATATGTATATAAACAATTGTAAATATTTCAATATTTATTAACTTTCCATGGTTTGGCTTTCAGCTAAAATGAGAATAATCATCCCATTTCCACCCTGCTATTTTAGGGGCTTTAATTATCCAAGTGGACAGGTTTAAAAGTACCTCTTTCTTTCTTTCTTTCTTTCTTTCTTTCTTTCTTTCTTTCTTTCTTTCTTTCTTTCTTGCGAGCCTTTAAATAGATTCTAATAACCAGCTATTATCTCTTTGGTTTTTTAAAAAAAGTTACTTGAGGCAACAATGAGTACTACTTCCTTATATATGTACCCCTTTCCCTGGTTAAAAGTTCTTTTTAAGACACAAGGAAAAATTTACATATTCCCTTTTTGAAGTCAAAAAATGGATGCAAGAAAATAGTATCTAAATAAGCCCACAAAGCCTTGATTACTTTTTTTAAATGCCTTTCATTAATTAGATAGAATAGAGAAAGATTAAAAAAGCAAAGTGAAACGTGTGTGTTTCTGTACATACATATACAGACACACATGCACACATGTATGTATGTATGTATGTATGTATATAATGTTTCAACATCAGCTTCTATGAAGGATTACCATGTTTCAATGCAATTGTCTATCCATAATCTACATCTGTTGCCAACTATTTCCTAACTCTCAAGTAACATCAGGTCTTCAATACATTAGGTAACTGGGATCATAAATTTATATTTCCATTGTTGAAGTGCCAGTCTTTTAACAATAAGAAGAGCTCAGAGAATCTATTTCTGCTGTACAGCCATCAATTTCCCTGTAATAGCTATGTAGTTCAAAGTAATATGAATGTCTGCAAATATTAAAAATATCTCAAATCAAATAATAAATGCAACTACAGTGGAACCTCTGGTTACGAACGCTTCTGTTAATGAATTTTTTGGGTTACAACCAGCTCCGGCCGCAAAATTTTGCTTCGGTTTGCAAACTCCACCTCAGGGTATGAACAGGATACGTGGTCATTTTCCCTCCCGTGACACGGTCCGTGGCCATTTTCCTGCCCCTGACACATGATCCGCGGCCATTTTTCCGCCCCTGACACGTGGTCCGTGGCCATTTTTCCGCCCCGACACATGGTCCGCGGCCATTTTTCCGCCCCTGACACGTGGTCCGTGGCCATTTTTCCGCCCCGA